CTCCACTTGTCTCCTCGGGTCTCAAAGTGTCTCACTTTACCCCGGTTCACTTCCAAATCACCTTTTAATTTGCTAATTCATTCTCGATAATGATATTATTATTTAATTATTATTTTATCACGTACAAAATATTTTATTCTAAAATATTTCTTTCACCCATTACTGCTCTTTGGCACTTAGATTTTCGTCAATTGTCCCTTTATCTTATCAATTGGGTCCTATTGACTCCTATTCGAGAATACCGGGTGTTATAGTATTGTTAACAAGTAATATAATGATGAAGTAGAATATCATTCCCATAGAGAATTATTTTAATTCTTACTGTTAACTACTAAAATTAACACACTAATTTTATCCAAACTATCAAAATTAAAATTAAAATTAAAGCTAATAACTAAAACTAATCTAAAATATTTAGCAAAATTATTTTATTAACTTCTAGTGATTACAAGACCTAAGATTATGATATCGCTTAATACTTCATTTGAATATTATCTTTCTCTCTTAATTTAGTTTAATGGATTAAGTTGTTAACCTAGAGTTCTAAATTATTTACAAGTCTCTATTGAGTTTCTCATAAAAATACCTCTCCTAATTAATTTACTATATGTCTATGCAAATTAAATTGAAGAAAGATTCATTAAGTTCATGCTCTAATCTTGGCTATGCATGGTTTATAGGTGTATGTCTACCTTAAATGCAAATCAAACAACTTAATCAACTAAGTGCATTCAATCATACGCTATTCTATTCAAGACCTACCTAAGTCTCTTTAGTCAAGATTTAACCTAGCTTCCAATTCAATCTAATTGGTGATCAAGCAATTAAAAGCATTGAGAATATAATAAAATAAACAACTTAAATCCATCAAACATAAGTAAAAGAAAGATAAACAAATTGGACTACACAATGAGTTCAATCCCCATCAAGTTACAAATCACTATCAAATAAAGTTTAAACATTAAAAACAAAACCAAGAAAATAAGAAAATAAAAAAGGATAGAAAAACTCAAGAATTGTATTCTTGATCTCCTTATCTCCTTGAATCCTTCAAATTCTTCTTAACTTTAATGACTTTGTGGCTTGATTCTTGGCTTTTAATCTAGTGTTTCATTTTTTTTTAAGTCCTTCAAAAGGTTATTTTTATAGGACTTTGAAGTTAAGCCAAGTTAGGTGAAGAAAGAAGTCAATTCCAATAAGGATTTTCTCATCAAACTACATGGGCCATGGCACCTACCTCCTCCAAAGCCACGGCTTTCACCATTTAACTAACAAAAATTGTAATTGTTCTAGGACTACTATAGTGCTCCAATTTGGACAAGATTTTGGACCACCTTCCAAGCATAACTAGATAAAGTGGTAACCATTAAAATTGTAGCTGTTTCTCTTATCTTTCCAATGATCTAAGAACCATTTCATTTAATGCTATGTAGAGATAGTTATGGTCGAAATATGAAAACATGTGCAGTGAAAATCTGCACCTCAAAATTGCTCTCCTTCTTCCATTAAAATTCTTCCTTCATTAAACATCTACAAAAGCACAAATAAATCAACAACAACCTATCTTAATCACATTAACACCAAATTAAGCATAAAATTAACTAAAATTAGATTGACTCACTTAAATTAACTAGCCTAAAAAAATTTAAATAAAACTTACTAATTTCTATGCATTACCACAAGAACTAAGCTAAATTACTATCAAAATTAAGTCCAAATAGCTCTAAATCAAAACGTTATCACTAACATAGTAAATTGAATGAAATATCTTCTTTCTTTAGACCCAAACAACACCCATTGCATCGACTCTTGCATCACACATTAGTTTAACAAGAAAAGTCCAGTCTGGACTTATGATGATAGGTGTAGAAATCAATCTTTGCTTCAATTCTTCAAATGCAACAAGAAAATCATCATCAAATTTGAATGGCACATCTTTTTGCAATAGATTGCAAAGTGGTTTTGAAATTTTTGAAAATCCTTGATAAATCTCTAGTAAAACTCAACATGACTAAGAAAACTTCTAATTCCTTTAACATTTGTTGGAGGTGGAAGCTTTTCAATAGTCTCAATTTTTGTCTTATCTACCTCAATACCTTAACAAGGAATTCTATGTCTAAGAACAATGCCTTCTTGGACCATGAAATGGCATTTTTCCCAATTCAACACTAAATTTGTTTCCTCACATCTCTTAAGTAAACTCACAAATGAGACAACCATCAAAAGTATTTCCAAAAACAGATCTATAAATACCTCCAAATATTGCTCCACATATCTACAAATATGGCCACCATGCATCTTTGAAGAGTGGCAGGGGCATTACATAATCCAAATGGCAATATTCTAAATGCAAAAGTGCCATAAGGAGATGTAAAGGTAGTCTTCTTTTGCTCATTTAGGGTTATGGCAATTTGATTGTACCTAGAATAACCATCCAAGAAGCAATAATATTCCTTACTATCCAATTTATCCAACATGGAATCAATGAAAGGAAGAGGAAAGTGATCTTTCTTTGTAGCTTTGTTAAGCTTGCTATAATCCATGCAGACTATCCACCTAGGTACTATTCTTATAGGAATTAGTTCATTGTTATCATTGGAGACCACGGCCATTCTTCCTTTTTTTGGTACACGTTGGACTAGACTTACTTGTGTGCTATCAAAGATTGGATAAATAATTCCAGCATCCAACCACTTAATGTTTCTTTCTTGACCACTTCTTTCATGGTAAAATTGAGTCTTCTTTGTAGTTCAATGATGGCCAAGTGGTTCTCCACAAGAAAGATCTTATACATGCATTCGGTAGGGCTAATTCCTTTAACATTTGCAATGGTCCATCTTATTTCTTTCTTGAACTCTTAAAAACTTGTCTTCTTGTATTTTTGTAAGAAAAGTAGAAATTATATTTGTAAGAGTAGAAGAGTTTCCAAAAAAGGTGTACTTCAAGTATGTTGGTGAAGCTCCAAGATATGTGGTTCTTTACTGATAGCTTTTAAGTTCCAAGCAAGTGGCTCTTCAATAAAGGACTTAAAAGCTAGCACTAAAGAAGTTGAAATATTTAAAGACTCAAATTCATGATTAGATTTAAATCTTAATTGAGCATTTAACAAATTCGAGTATTCAAGAAATTCAACATAATCCCTATCAGAAATAGTAACTAAGCATGCTTGGGTCAATGGGATATTTTCTAAAATACCTCATTTGTTAGACTACTTACTACATTCATAGAAAATCATTCGTCATATTTCATTGGAAATTTAAAGCTTTAAAAATATTGAATGTTACCTGTTGGTCTTGAACTCTCGAGCTAAGCTCACATTTTTCCACATCAATTAGAGTTCTAGCTATTGCTAAGAAAGGTCTTCCAAGGATGATTAGAATTTAACTATCTTCCACCATGTCAAGAATCATAAATTAACTACGAAGATAAATTTATTTACCTTGATGAGACCATCTTTAATGATTCTTCTTAGATAAGCATAAGAATGATCAACAAGTTGTAGTGTCACAAAATTTGGCTTGTATTCCCCCAAACCAAGTTTACCAAAGATTGATAATGGCATCAAATTGATATTTACACCCAAATGACTTAATGCTTTAACAAAGAACAAATTACTAATTATGCATGGAATTGTAAAACTACTAGGATCCTTGAGTTTTGGTGACAATTTGTTTTGGAAAATTGGACTGTATTCTTCTGTAAAAGGAATAGTTCAAACTTACCTAATTTTCTCTTATTCGATAGAATGTCTTCCAAGAACTTGACATAGCTTGGCATTTGTTCTAAAGCTTTAACAAAAAAGGATATTTATATGTAGTTTCTTAAAGATATTAAGAAATTTCTAAAACTACTTATCAAGTTTCTGCTTTTGAAACT